CGAACACCAGGAATGATCGGCAACAAGGAGACACGCCGCACAGTACATGTGCTCCCTGATATCTTTCGAACCATTGATTTCATGATTCGCAAGTGCAAAAGACGGAACAATACGAGCTCAGCATTACTACCACCATTCATCACACCACTTAGGGTATCGTTTGGGTCATTATCATCAAGGCTACCCCCAGCCACGGCACATTCCCAGCCGCAAACCACTTGCAGGATGAGCATCCTCATGAACACCGCGGGTTGGCGTAATTATAAGTGTAAGCGGACCAGAGGCCGTAAAAGTGAGCCACTGCAGCAAGAACCACAGAACAGTGGAAGATTTGGTGAGAAGCGCCCCAGATGTCAAACTTGACAGGGTGCCACTTTTCTGGATAATGAATCTATAGAGGATCGTCAGTCCCGCCGTCATTTGTTGCACTGTTTGTGCGTGTGCGTGTGTGTGTCTGTTCCGTGCGAGGCTGGGGGAGAAACTCACAGCATAGGCATAGGCGCCGATAAGGAGGAAGACACCTTCAAGATAATAATAGCGAATGCCTGCCTGCTTGTCCAGCTGCGCGTATGGAAACATGGTGGCAGCGTGTATGATGGGCGCGAACCCCGACAGGCCTGTCGCGACAAATGTGCCGAGGCGGAGGATGCGGTGCTCCTTGCTCTGCAGGCGTGGATGAAGCACCACAATGCAAGTCAAGAGGCTCAGGATGCCAATCTACGTACGGGTTCACGCCTCTGTCAAAAAAAATTTGCGTCCTGTGAAACGAACGGACGGGCCAAGAGACAGGATGACGTACCATGGTCCAGTACACGCCTCTCAGACGGGTTTCGCAGTAGAAGCCCATGTAGATGCCGGAAAGGAAACTTCCCAGGATCTGCACGACTATCGCCAGATAATCCATGCGCAACCACAAATCATGCATGGCCTGCGAGTGGCACAACATGGCATGGTACGCGGCGGAGACGCCGAAACAAAGGACACTGCCCGTCAGAAAGACGTGGAAGATGGCTCTGTCGGGCCATGACGCGCCGGGGAACCTCGTGTCGAAATAGGCCCAGACGAGGTAGTTCCCAGCCAGGGCGACGAGGGCGGGCACCAGATGGCTCCAGATGTTGGCTGTCTCATTATGCAGCGACGTTAGGCTCGCGGCGCAGGCCGCCTTCAAGGCCCGCACGGCGGGGTAAGCCGGCAAAAAGGTGGCCGTTGGGGGTATACCAACCCCGGGACTTCGGCGGCGCGGAGAAAACCCACCTGGAGCCCCGTCTGGAACGTTTTTCCCTGGAAGAAAAACCGTACTGGTCGCAACTGGTCTGCCCGTCATGGAAAGAGAAAGGTCCTTCTCAAGACCGGTGTAGGGGGCGGAACACGGCGTGGTGGGCCCTAGCCGCGGGGGTCTTTCTCGCCGCAGCGGCAAGAGCGCGGAACAGTGTGAGCGCGAAGTGGTGACCATGAAGGCGCATATACGAAAGTCGACCGTTCGCTCGCCCTGGACGAATGTTTGGTCGCGTCACACACGATAACACACGACAACCTCGTTCCAGGCACAGAGAAATCGCAGTGAAGCATGACGGCGGGCGGCTTTGCTTTAAGAAGCCGACAACGGGTGCGCGCGCGCGCGGCCACTCCCTTCCCCCCTCCATCTCGCTTTCGCTCTCGAGAATTAGGGTCAACAAGAGGCGTAGTTCAAAGCATGCCAGCCTTGATTGCGTCGCTGATCGGAACCCGCGGCCGGGATCATCGGGAAGTACGACCTTGCCGGAAGGGCGCGGAAATAGGGCCAGAGGGGGGTGGGGTCGCGCCAGGGGGCCGACAATCTCAAGAATGGCCTTCTATCGACGGCGACATCTGGCGCATGGGTCTCCCTCCCAATTGGGGCTCTCTGGAGGGTACCTTTGGAATGGGTCTTTGCTTTTCGATGCTGTGTGGTCCCCCTCCCTTCTTGTGACGGACTCGGGGCACCTGACCGTTGCGAAATGACCTTTAAATCGGGCGCCTCGTGGCATCAATAGTCCGTTCCTTGGTCCCTCCCCCGAACTCGAACGGCCTATAGGCGGTAGACATTTAGTGTGCATAAATGACAGGTCGGTTCGGCCTCCTATTTTGGCCCCTCCCGGAGTGACGTACAAGTTTCATGAGTGACCCTTTTCCCGGCTCTCCTTTTGACTTGGTTGTCAGCCAATTTACCAACAACAGCAGCGACTAGATAATGCAACGGCATCTCCCGACTGTTATTATTACAAAGCTCTACGCAAGTCGAGGATTACAAAGTTAAAGCAAAAAAGAAGAAGAGGGAGAAGAGGAAGAAGACAGTATCGAAGTAGGTAGAACAAACGAAAAAAGTGATCAAGCAAAGCCACGGGACGGGGGAGTTGAAAGCCAGCCAACCGACCAGCCCCTCGGCCATCCGTATATACGCAAACAACAATGAAAAGTCGCCCATTGTTTCCTTCCTGTCGCTCATCCCAACGCCTGATCAAAGTGCCTTTTGAATAAAACAGCAGAAAGCTGAGGCTCCTGGCCCCGGTCCTGGTCCTACCTGGCGGACAGACAGGTTCACGTGCTGACGCCGTTCTGCTCGCGCTGACGCTTGGCAATGTAGTACGTGATGAGGTTCTTCGGATCGTCCTTGGTCGTCTTGACGGCCTCCCAGAACGGCCCGTCGCCGATGCGCGCGTGCAGCGCCACGCACAGCTGCACGGCGCCCATGCGGACCCCGGACTCGGTCGACTCGAGACACCGTCCCGCGAGCCCCGCCAACTGCCCGAGCTCGCCCTCGGATGGCACATAGCCTTGTCGCTTCTCCAGAACCTCCTTGAGGATGTGGAGCCCCATGCTGAGGCACCGGCACCCCCCGGTCGTCGAGTCGGCGCTGTCACCCAGCAGCTTTGTCATGGTCATGACCATCTCAGGCGCATCACCAATGGTCACCAGTTCGGCCGCCAGCAGCTCCAGACCGCTGACAATGTGCGTCCGCGAGTCGTAGGCGCTGCGCGAGGCCACGAGCGCCTCGAGACCCCGCGCCACGTGCGGCTGGAAGCTGTCCCTCTCCTTCTTGAGAAGAAGCTTGACCGTCGCAAGGATCTGCGCCTTGACATCCTGCACCTTCTCCGGTGCGAGTGTCTCGAGCGGCGCCTCAAGGAACTCAAAGAGACCCGTGAGGAGCGCGTCAAACTTCTCGTCCGTGAAGACGGCCCGGTTCTCGCGAATCAATGTCTGCAGTTTGCGGAAGCCGTGTACGTCGAGGGAACGCGCCTTGACCCGCGTGATGCCGCTCTCCAAGAGTTTTGTGTTCTGACGTGACTTATCGGGGGACTCGGGCAGGCCGGTGGGGCCCAGCTGTCCGATCGCCGGCACGCCGGCATTCTCATTGATGGGCCTATCTTCGAGCACGGGGATGACGATGACGGGCTTGGGAGTTGTCTGATCCTCTTCGGTGAATGGATCTTCAAAGACCTTGAGCGTCTTGGACGGTGTCGTGCTGATTTCCTTCTGAGGGCTCTGCACGACAATCTCTGGGCTTGCTGGCGCCACCTGCGGGCTCGTCGGAACCTCGGGCTCCGCGGACTTGATGGGCAGAGGCGGCTCTGGACTTGCGGGCTCGACTTCGGGCGGTTGCTCTTGTTCCTCGGGCTCGAGCGCGGGCGACGGGTCCTTCAGGCTCAGGCTTTCGACGCTCGGGACAAGCAAAGTCAGCTCTTCATTGGCTTTAGACGGACTGCTTGCAAGTGTGATGGGCGCGTGCGCTGGCTTCGCCGGGCTCACCCTCGGCGAGGGTTGAGGCTTCGCGGGGCTGACCCGCGGCGAGGCGGCCGTCTTCGTCGCAGTTATCTTAGCTGTGGGAGATGGCAGGCTCGATTCACTAACATGAGACGCATGCCCGGGTCTCGTCCTAGGAGGAACCCGCCTCGGCGGGGTCTCAATCTTAGCCTTTGGTGTGTTCGTTCTCGACTTGAGGCTTTGCGGGCTCGAGGCCTCGGCCGACGGGCCTTCATGTGCCCGCACCGAATAGGGGCCAGCAGTGGCGGGACGCTGGGGTTGTTCGGGCCGCTTCTTTGTTGGCCGCATGGGTCTCACAGACATGCCACCAGATACGGTGGACTCGGGACGAGGACGTGTCGTTGCCGCTGATGTAGCGGCTGCAGCGGGGGGCGCGTTGGAGCTGCTCGAGACTGTCCTCGCGGGTGAAATGTGTGCCATGGCTGATCCTGGTCTTGCGGGCAAGTTTCGGCCAGACATGGCCTTCTTCTGTGCCAACATGGCTTCTCTTAGACTAGGCTTTGACGAGGTAGCCATGGTGCTCCTCGACAGGCCCATGCCGGGTCGAACAGGACCTTCCTCGACCTTCTTTGCCGCGCTGGGATTGTGCGAGTCCTTGTTGAGCAGCTTTTGCGCCGTTGCGTCGAGGTTCTCCATGATGCTGTCGCCTGTCAGTGATGTCTGTGCAATCGTTGATCCGCCTTGCGTTGCCACTCACATTTCTGCCCTGGCAGGCCAATAACTGGCAAAGGCCCAGTAGGTGCCGCGCATCTTCTCTCGCACGCCGGGGTTTGAGTCGTTGAGGCCCTTCTTGATGCACTTCTCAAAGAGCTCCACACCGCCGTTATGCTCAATGTGGCTCTTGTGGTGGCCTTCCTTCTTGAGGATGGTCTGCAGCCAGTCCGCAGCGTACGTGCGCGGCTGCACGTTCTTGTCCTGGCATGCGCCCCAGACGTGCTGCATGATTCGACTGTTGTAGGAGGCCCTACCGACGATGGCGTCGACGGTCACGTTGGCCTGCTGCGAGGCAATCTTCTTGGTGGCGGCGCAGAGCTTGATAAAGGTTTGCATGAGCAGCTCGACAAGGGGGTCCATGCCCGGCCCGAAAGCGTGGGCAATGTCCTGGACGAGGGCGCAGCCTTCCTTGGACAAACTTGTGCGTAGCGAGTTGACGGCCTTGATGATGCCGTCGAGGAGGGCCTTGAGCCCGAGGAGGAAAGGCTCCCGAAAATCTTGCGCCGCATTTCCTGCGATCAGCCGGCGTAGCTTCTTGACGCTCTCCTCTCTCTTCAGCCAGTTTTGCTCCGACTCCCTGCCCTCAAAGTGCAGGTGCATGTGCCGAAGCATATCTTCCAGCTCGCGTTGCGTGTTCACGTAGGACGGCTCCGCCTTGTCGGTCCGGACGTCCGGCGCAGGAGTGATGGGACGCTCGCTCGGCAGGGCCGACGTGCTGGCGGCGAGAGTCGGTCGACTCGGAGGTGCCATGTCGGAGGGCGTCTCGGGGCGGGTGCCGCTGGGGAGCAGCTCCTTGACGATGGCTTGTTCGATGGCCGGGCGGACCTTGAAGTTCTTCAGCTGGCGCTTGAGATCGGACTTGGCGGCATTGGGCGAGTTGCTGAGCATGGCAAGGATTAGCGACAGTGGCGAGAACCAGAGCTTTCTGGTGTTTGTAGGGGGCAAAGGCAGACATACCGGAACAGCTCAATGACGGTGGCCTTGGCAACATCGCGCACCATGCCGTCGGCGTCCTCCAGCAGATCCATCAAGGTCGGCACATAGCCGCGAAACTGCAGACCTTGTTCCTGGTGCATCTGCAGCACCCACTGCATGCCGGCCTCCTTCGCGCGCGGGTTCTTGCCCGCCATGGCAACGTTCCTTACCATACGCTCGACGTCGGCGGGCGCGACGGCGTACAGGGTGGTCAGCGCCTGAGCGGCAAGGGTCCTAAACTTCTCCTTCTGGTCGCCGAGCTTGTCGATAACGAGCGGCAGGGTGGCCTTGAGCTCCCTGTTGAGGAACTTGGGCTCCTGGCGCGAGAGGCGCGTCAGCAAGTGGTTGAGCGAGGTGAAGCCAGCGTTGACGAGGACGGCATGTTGGGAGGACGAAGCCAGTCGCAGAGCGTCAAAGATGGAAGGCACGAGGTGATCGGGGACATTGTGCTGCTTGATGCCGGACTTGATCGCCGTCACATGGTTCACCTTGGCGTCGACGGCAGCATCGGAGCGAAGCACTCGAAGCAGGTTCTCGACCTGGTCGTCGGATATCTTTTCGGCCATGCCCCGGTATGAGATGGACGAGGGGGGGTTTGCAGCGTGTATGCGATGGAGGGGTCCTGTCGGCGGTGGGAGGTCAATGTCAGTGGAAGGACCTAGGCAGGGTTGGCACATGCGCATCGAGGATACGTTGCAGGCATAGGAATGTGTTGTCTGGGATGGGTATATGACGATGGGGGTCACCTTGTGCATGGACTCACCAGTGACCGAGCGAGGGTTGGTTGATGCAATGCAATGCGAAAAGAGAGTATACTGAAGAATTGGATAGGGCAATCACGAACGCGACGGTGTGTGCTTCGGGAACGTAGCGAGATGGCGGGGCAGCTGTTGTTGACTGCAAGTGACGTTTAACCTCTCGCTGGGGTCTGTTGTTTGCTCGCAACGCAGCAGGCCACAGCAAACGACGTCGTCGAATGGAAAACAAAGGGGGTCCCGGCCGCCCCTCCCTCGTGTTGCTCCGTGCCCATGGTGATCGGGGCAGGCGCGACCGGGTCATTGGCTGCATCCGCGCCACGATCCTATCTTATCGATGCTTTGAGGTGGAGCTTTGGCCGTCTGTACCTCTGCACCTACCCCTTGCTACCTGTTCCCTCCCTACTCTTGCTCCTGTACCCGCTACCCGCTAACAGCAGCTGGAACTACCAGCAAGTTCCAGGCTTGCCAGGACAGAGGAAGGGGCGGGGGAGCAGATGGTTAGCCCGGCATCTGGAGGCGCTGATTCAACCACTTTTGCCCCTCGACCCTCCACTCAGGGACCTCGATCGCTGGGCCAAAAGGTAATCAGGGA